GTCCCTCGAGTAGGACTGTTAATTATGCAGGCCTTCGTTACGTTTTAATTTTTCATACCTTGTCTGCACTGGACGAGGTACCGTAACCATTAAGAAATTATCGATATTAATGATCGAACAGCCTCGGATGTAGGCCAGTTGTTGACCTGTTCTGGCCAGAGTCGGCCAAAAGTCTCCACGTCAAGTTTCCTCAAGATACATTTTAATATTCTCGGCCCATCCGCACGTATGTGTTCAAAGTGATTTCGTTTTTCGTTGTTTCTTAGTATCGTTTTGCATACAAATAACGATTGCTAAGGAGGAGACGTACAGTACGCGACTGTAATCTTGAGACTTGCTAGGAATGCAGGAAGTCCGAAGCGTTTAAGGCAGACGCTATCTCTCCCCCTTCACCCCACAGGTCTCAAGATTACAGTCGCGGAATTTACACGTTGAGAAGCTCCCACGGCAACTTCCTGTCTGGTCCAGAAAGCATCATGAACCCATGTCCCTCAGAAACACACTCAGCACATTTTGTTTCCTTTGTTTGAGTTCTGTGTCTCCGAAAGTTTGATCTTCGTGTTAGGACAGAGAAAGGCAAAAGATTGTATTCACGTTTCACGAATAATTTATTAAAACTGCTGTCTTTACAACGCTGGATCGTGTTGGGTCAACCTGCAGGGTACACGGCAAATAATGCGTAATTAAACAGCGGACCTTCAGGGCACGTGGGGCTCGTGGGAAGACAGGACAGCGATCTGCTTAATTGAAGTTCAGTAACGTAGTTAAAGGACAATGCTGAGTGCGTCATTGGAATCAAATCTCGTCACTGTAATTCGTATTCGAACGGCATCTCAACAGGAGCAGGCCAACAAAACCGTTTGACACTGATGATGCTCTGTAAATGATCTGACATCTCCCAGGATCCGTTTATCAGCGCTGAAACAGGGCGTTTGAAGCTGACTGGGGTCTCCGGCATGTGCGTGTTCTAAATGTCTGTCTGTCTGTCTGTCTGCTCACTTCGTTGATAAATGTATCACAGTCTTACACAGAAAGAAATAAAACATGTCGGTGCCACGGAATGTATCTCGCCACACGTTTCCGCACTAAAATTTGTACTTCGTAATATAATTTCCGTAGGGCGAGTTACCAAGTTCCACACAGGCAAAATTGTGTCTATGTTTTGACTGTTTTAGCCCGTTTTTGTATTGAATATGGAAGATCAAAGATTCTGAACCGAAATTTGGGTTCCTGTGATGCCAATACCTTCGTACCGGAATATTTCTTGAGCGTGACTCTGATTTCTTGTGGTGGTACTGATATGCGGGTTCTGTTAGAAGATGGTGACACGCCCCCAGCGAAGGAAATAAAATAAAAAGAACTTCTTATCTTGTGACTTAAGAAATGCTGTGTCTTCCTCGTCGTCGAGGCGTTGCTTAAGAGACGTGCTTCTGACTCACTGAAAGTGTCGTGTCAGGTTCCTGGCTCAACGATACTCCTACGGCTTCCGGTACTCGGGTTTGGAGGTGGGCCAGAGCATCAAACCAAAGCACTCCTCGGGGGGGGTGAACGTGTCTGTTCATGTGATGGCAAGAGAAGAGAGAGTTCTGTGCACCAGATGGCAGCAGTAATGTTTTGTATCCATTGATTACAAGAGCAGGTAACAGGCTTTCAATGTGAAGCCAGTAAGTGGAATAGTTAAGTCCTTAGAACAAAGTCCATCTTGGAAGGGAAAATGGCTGCTCATCGAGTCAGATTCCGCGTCTTTTATGTTGGCCGAACTTATCCGTGTTCTGATTCAGATGAGTCCAGTCCACATCACGTATATTTGAGTGTGTTGATCATACGACCTTTATTAATGCTATGGTAGTCATAAAATTTGAAGTTGATTAAATCCGTATCGAAACGAAGTTTTTCTCGCGTACTCCGGTCTAACACGCGTCACAAACCTGGCAGTGATGATCGGACGTCATTTTAAAGAAATTCAGGTTCGTACTTGAAAGTCCCGGGTTCGAATCTCGGCCAGGAAGGCGACCATCGTGGCTGTTATCATGGTTTTCCTCGTAGACTCCAGGCAAATACCGGGATAATGCGTTAAATTAGGCCACATCAGTTTCTTTCCTCGCTCGTGCACGTTCATTATTAACTACTCATTCAGATATGTAACATAAGCTACTGAAGGCGTCGTTAAATGAACAAAGAAAATTTGTTTTAATGCTTGTCACGTGACCCCGACGTCTTCGTTCCGACCCTACGATGCTCTGACGGAACTAATTGCTGCTTGCACAAAATTTCTTCTGTGGTCGTGAGCCATTTTCTAAGTACGAAATTTTCCTTCCGAGGCTCCGGCCACCGACACACACTCGGTCCAAAATTAACGACGTTGGTGATGATCGCCCATTTCTTTCCCGACTCTTTATTTTTCGGCAGAGACAAACGCTCCAGAGCCCGCAGTTGCCACGCCCTTCTCTTCGTTTTCCGCGACTGGGGTCTGACTACAGCGTCCACTTGTTGCAGTTTTTGGCACACAGAAGTCACTCCCCTCTCCCCTTCGCTGTCTTGAGTTAACAAGGCTGTTTGCTTACAGAAAGACCGGGTTAGGTTAACTGGCGGTAATGAGACGTTCGTTGCAGACTGGACCGCTCCGAACTTGCACAAACGATTCATCATCTCCGTGGAGGAGTCTGTTTTAACACCTCCGGCTGTCACGAACTGGATCTTTGGCGTTGACGGGTTGCAGGCCGAACGGTAGGCTAGATCAGACGTGCGGAAGTGCGCATGTGTTGGAAGACCGCGCAGTGGTATGTTTAGTTACCACCTCCGCCTTTCCGTGTTTGTGGGGGATTCTACGGAACTCGTCAATACTTCGCATAATAATAATAATGATGATGCCAGTTGTAGTGACGGCATCATCGTCATCATTTCACGAACAGGCTACTTGTTATCGCGTCTTGAAGGCACAAGAACGTCTTCCTCAGGATCAGATCGTCCGTACTCGGCGTCACCGTCCCAGCCCTAGACAGGACGGGGGTGTGAAGTCTTGTCTTGCGCCCGCTCTGCCCAGCCACATCGTGACGCATTTCGTTGGCGCTCAGACGAAGTTGGCGTCTGTGTCGCCGACTGACACGGAAGCCGCCGGCTCACCGCGGTGTACAAAACACACGCCCACGCTTTGTTTTAACAGACACCTCGCACTCTGTACAAGCCGGCCTTGTGTCTGTCCTGGGACGTTTCCAAAAGCACGCCCACGCTTTGTTTTAACAGACACCTCGCACTCTGTACAAATACACGCTTCTCGGCACCGACAGCATGAGAAAACAATTTCGCTTCGTGTTTTATCGCCTCTTCGCCGATGTAATGACACATACTCAGGTCATAAACTGCAAATTTACATTCCTGGGTTCATCAGGACGTTAACTTCGACGTAATTTGATGCGTGAAGGACTTTCGTTAAGACGTAATCTCCCGAGTCCTCAACTGAGCAGCCTCGAGACAGGCTCTTGTGAGTGAGAGATGGCTAAAGGCTCATCTCAGTTCCTCTGTTCTGTTTCCCCGGTCCTTTTCGTGGGACTCAGAAGTCCTGAGGATGACTGTTTTGAAGGCAACGCGATGCAACCAGCAGATCCCAAGGCTGTAACCTTCCGTACCCGAGGCGGGTTTCAGACGCTGGATTTTCATTGCAGGGGCCCGAGATGAATTTCGTAGCTCTGAATGTCTCGAGGATTTCTTTTCTGGTTCAATTTTTGCACTCGAGCGAAATGGTCTCAGCGGTTGATGCAGCCACAAACCCAATTACTACACGGGAGTGTCGCTCTCTGCCGGGTGGAGTGAGTGGATGACGTCACCACATTACTCGTTCTAACGAAAAAGAATGGAAAATAAAATGAACCACGGAAATAGTTTCATTGCTGTCAGCGCAAATGTTGTCTGAGAATGTGCAAGATTTCGCGGTTTAAATTTAGTCTCCGCGTAGGAACTAGCGCAGTCTCCCGGCGACTCTTGGCGAGGGTCGTCGTGTCAAAGGAACTTTGCTCATGAAACGACATCGTTTCGAAAGCCTTTGTCTTGCGCAGGTGAAGAAACTGGTCTTACGAAGTAGACGATTAGTTTTACAAGGCACACGCACTTCTGCGTGTAAACAGTTACGTAATTACGAATTTTATGACGTCACATTTCAGTTGGCGTGTACAAGTGGGAACACAAAAGAGAGAAAAGACCCTTGGAGGGCATTTGAGAGAAAATATTTAACGATGAAAGTTTCATTGGCTTTGGGTCGATGGGTTTTTAGATTGCGTCATAAATATACCAAGTCGATTAATGTTTTCCTGCGCAAACGAGCTCCGAATTGAGAAGCTGTTGCATTTTTCAGTAGCAGCACAGTCTTTGAGTCTTCGGCACCGCTCGGGAAACACCCTGTATCAGTTTATGCTTGAAATATGATGCGTCGTAATGACTGACTCCCCCACTAAAATGGCGGCCCGCGACCCCTAGCCAGGGCACGCGATGTTGACAGTTGATATATATCTCAATTAGGAAGTGAGGCCACAACGCGCAGTGCGGATATTTCTGGAGATGATGGCGATGCTCTGTTGTTCAATTTACGTCCATTTGTCTTTATAGCTCACAGTTGCTCTGAGACGTTTATGATGTCATTACTGTTAAACTTAACACGCCTCTTTTTAACCCCCCTTTTTAATTCGGTAGTAAAATAACCGATTACACGTTTCTTGAGAACTTCTGACGCAGAAAGCCAAATCTAATTGACGGTCGCGCAGGACTTGAACTGCCGCGGTGTGGGAATTTGGCGTTGCGAAAGTAAGCCGGCTCCAGTCAACTCAGTCAACAAATGTCACGACTTTTCTAGAACCCTAAGGTTCATCGCCGTGCTCACTAAATCCCAATCAACTGCAATTTATCTTGAGCCAGACGAGTGCAGTCTAAGGATCCGTTTTAATATTGTAGAACTCTTCTGCCTGTGCGAAATGAGAGGTTTGTAAACTTGTTACGTTTGTATGTTCCAGTATGATGGCGCCGTGGCCGATTTTCCCGACCATCCTCCTGCTAGCAGCGCAGGAAGCAGTGGCTCTCGCTGGGGAGGCTTCACTTCGTACAGCGACTGGAAGTGGCACGCGCTGAACAAACCCAACATGGACATGTTGCGCAATCACCAGCACAAGGCGACGTACAAACCCACTTCTCCGGGTGAGTGTTGGCACGTTCTCATTCCTCACGGCGATGACCCAAGTTTCGACCAACAGCAAATATCGATACACCCCGGGTGAGATCAGAACAAGCGTCCACTTGGCCCGAAGTACCGCGTAAATCTCGTCGAGCGAGGTTTCGTGCGAGAACCGAACATCGGGTGGCGTCTGTGTCCTCCTTAACAGTTTTAATTCAGGCACGTTGAATTAGGCGACAGATTTATAGCCGGGCAGAGCCACCTCTGACGTCCCCCGCCATGTGTCTTCATCTGGTGACGACTGCGTGTCTGGCCGGAAAACGCCTGTAATTCCGACCGACCGCTCCTGTAGGAAGCCAGACGACCATTTCCTGTTGTTTCCAGAAAATCAAAATTTTATAATTCAGCTACATGCGTGTAGTCTCAGATCTGCGTTTGTTAATTTAGTTGAAAAGAAATGCTTTGAGGTACAGATATGAACAGATTGATCCCACAGTTAACCCAACCTGAGGCTCAGTTGCTGTCTAGACTCGGTGATCTAGTTCTGGCAGTGAATCAAGCGTAGACATTCAGGGCGGGTTCCAGCCGTGTCATTAATCTTCGGTTATATCCGCAGAGTGCGTATGTAACGAGCATAGAAAATGGTGCATTTACAATACTCTTCCTGCCTTAAGTTGATTTATCTTCGTAATCGTAGCACGGAATGGATTGAACCCTCGTCAAATGACTTTCGAATGTCTCGCCACGTGCAGTTTGAGTGGTCGGTGATGGAAGGCGTCTTTCTCCGGAAACGGCTCGTCGTCTGTTTCATCAGGGTGCGGACGGACGGGTACAGTCATTTGTGGTCTCGGCCTGCCTCGGAACGGCGGTCATCCTGAAGCGCGAACTGACGTTTCGCCTCTTCTCGTGTCTTCAACTGAGCTCCTTCAAAATCGACTTGCGGTCGGAAGGTCCGTCAACATTCGGAACGATTTACTGTTTATTCGGGTTTTTCTTCAATAACAAATTTGTTTGTAATGTTCGGTTAAGCGGTAGGCCTTCGCCAAATTATGACGTTCAGTTATTCCACGCTAAAGTCTCTGAAAAGTCCTCCCATTGTAGACATTATTGAGGACCAGCCCGTGTAAATCACTGGCTGGACAGTCAAGGTGTCCGAACCACGAATATACGCGCCTGTCGGATGCCTCATCATCATCTTGGGCGTGTAACCGAAGCGTTTGTTAGCATCGCTGCCTACCCGCGCCTACCAGTCCTGAAGAACATGCATCCTGACCTAGTTATAACGTGAAAGTGCTTTCAGAAGTTGTAATTTCCGCCTTTGCTTGAAGCTGATGGTAAAGACAGCACAATGACGAACTTATCAGATGTAATGAGCCAATACCAGC